CTTAATCAGTTTAGATGATAGAAACAGAATAGAAACAGAATATATATCTGTATTGTTTGTGAACTTTAAAAAGAAAGTTTCTCTAAAGCGGCTATCTATATAAGATCAATCACGTGTTAGATCATGCAATGAATAACATTTAGCAATGGTACCTAAATTTTTCAGAAGCTATTGCTAGAACATTACTGCTATAAATTCTATATGTGACAAACAATGTTTTCACAGATACGAAAAATAGCGATACATTCTTGTTGCGATATCTAGAAATCTAACTACATCAGCGAAATATTTTTTTGAGTGTAGAATTAGAAAAGCCAGAGGCGATCTAACGTGTGCTGGTGATATAGAAATAGAAAAGCCAGAGGCGATCTAACATATCCTAGCGACGTAGAATTAGAGAAGTCAGAGGCGGTCTATCGTGAGTTGACAATTTTTAATAAATATAGTCGGAGGTGATCTAACGTCAGCTGACAGTTTAGAAAAAAGAGAGCCAAAGACGATTTATTCGAGAGTTGGCAAATTGTAAGAAATATTGTCAGAAGCGATCTACCGTGAGCTGACAATTTTTAATAAATATAGTCGGAGGCGATCTAACGTCAACTGACAGTTTAGAAAAAAGAGAGCTAAAGACGATTTATTCGTGAGCTGGCAAATTGTAAGAAATATTGTCACAGGCGATCTATCGTGAGTTAACGAATTTTATGGAATATACATATATAATATTATTTAAGTTTATTATAAATAAATTTTGATTATCATTTTTTTATTGCTTATTAACAAGGAAAGAAGATAAATTTGGCATAAAAATATAACGACTGGTTAGAATAAATTCTTTTATTATATTATAACAGTATACACGAATTCTTGCTTTATAAATCATTTTCTTTATTATTTCAACAATATCAAAGGTGTTCCAATGGATAATCGGAACGATTATCATCACCGATTTATTTAAAAAAATTCATATTTTGTGTAACTTTACAGAAAATTATATACAGGGGTATCTTCAATTTTTCCAAGTAATTATGTTTTAAACTATGGGTTGTTAAAAAAAGAAAAAATGCATTTCATCAAAACAGCTTGACTCTGAAAAGAATAATTTATGATGAGCATGATTTTATATTTGCAAACAATTCCGCTTATATAACAAAGTTACATCGATTATAAAATCTTGTGCCATTCCATGCCAAATAAATTATCTTTGATGTGATACATTTTTAACTACCACTAGTCTCAGAAATTATCACGTGGAAAGATTAAGATATTTCGTATTTATTTATATATAATCTTCAGTCCATTTTTCAATATGCACTTGTTTCCTATGCGACATATTTTTTTCCACTTCCCATTTTTTGCAATAATAATTACAAAACATTCATTTTTAACGGTATATTTTGTAAAAAGAAGTTTTCATAGCAATAAAATTATGACTCGCTTTGATTTTATACTTTTCCATCAGATGCTTTCTTAATTGATGTTTCATATAGTTGTATTGCTAAAAAAATATGATATATATATAATGTCTTGATAAAATCGAGAAAAGAGATGAAAATTATATTATATATATATATAAAAATAATACATTTTAAAATCATTACACTCATTGTCATCAGTTCAATATTTATTACAAAAGGATATGTTTGCATAGGTAACATGCACAAAATGTTACATGAATATAAAGTACATTGTAATATGCAGGCTATATAGAAGCAATGGCTTGTCTTTTATTCTCTTTGTACTTTCAGCAACAGCAGATGCGTCGGTTTTGATTCGTATAATCGGTATTTTATTTACGTAATTGTGCTGAGATTTGAATGAAATAATTTTAATTACACAATTAAAAAGATTGAATGACATCTAATATTGTGTAAGATTACAAACAGTATTTAATGTAATTTTCGACAGAAAACATTTTTAGCGTAAAGTGAAAATGAGAGTTTAAGCTACAGTGTAAGTGTTAAAGAAGTGTAAGTATTAATAGAATATTTTCGACTATTAAGGCCGTAATATAATACAATTATGATTAAGGAGCACAATTATGATCATATGAAAATAGCAATATAACATCATTTCTTTCATTCATTGGCATTTTTTTTTCGATTATTTTCTACATATGCGTTATCGCGCGCAATAACATATAAATATTTCAGATATACAAAATATTTAGAATACATATGAACTTGTGTCTATTTCTTTTTTTCTTTCTCTTATAACATTTCACAATTTGCGCTTTACTCTTTTTACTGTAAATTTAATTTTATGATTAGACTAGTGTCCGATTTGAGTTGCCAAATATTACGATATTATTAGTATTGTTGTTTATAACTACGTACACATAAATTCCTTGCATTTATATACCTCTTATTCGGCGCATTTCTGATTATTTTTCATTTTTATTGTTACCAGAGCTATGCTTGTAAGCATAGTTTATCCTTTATGTACAAATACCGTGCCAGAATATAGGAACGGATTGAAATGTAATATATTTTCATTGATTGTATTTTTGCATAACTTTTATTTTTAGGCGAAATTTACGTTAGATTTGAGCGCGTGAGTTGCAGATTGTATCTCAACAGATAGACTGATCGCGCTGTGAATTATATTAAAATCAATTGGAACAAGCAAAATCATAAGCAAATCATTCGCTTGTAGCATAATTATAATGGTAGCTTTGCTGTTATTTCGAGTTCAACAACCTGGTAACATTGTACAGTATCGGCTATTTATAACAATGTTGCTAATTAAACAATTGATTCTTCCAATGTTTGCTTCGAAACGCAAATTCTGGAATGTAAATATGTTAATCCACAATAAAGATCTTTATCAGATTCTCTATTATCGCTTTATCTTATAAAAAGCTCTATATTTCTACATTGTGTTAAAAACTTCTAATATTTGATTAGCTGCATGGCTTAATAAATCCTCTTGTCTTTTGATCGCATTTAATTTAATGGAATTTGTATTATATAAAGCATATTCTCTTTCTTTTCTATTCCCCATTTGAATTAGAATTCGACTTAAAATAATGACAAAATTATTTTATATTTTATATTTGTAATTTATATCTAAATATTAATTATTGAATAAATAAATAAATAGATTTATTTCTTTAAATCTTTGGTTTCACAACGATATTAAAATTAATTCTTATCGCATGATAAATGAGAAGTTTAAAATCTGATTGGTTCTTGACGCGAATCGTTTAAAATTTATACTTTATCTTGTATAACAATAACAATAACAATAACAATGATTACAATAATTTTTTATACAAACGCTATTTCGTTTAAAAGATATATTACTTATGTAAGGAACATAGATCACGGTAAAGTTCTACGTAAAGTATCCTGAATGTATGCGAAGTTGAGTGCTTCAACATTAGCTAAGAATAATATATCTATAGATTAGCAAAAATAATTGTCAGACACATCGCACATATAGTCAACTGTATTATTCTTTACCTAAATTAGACCAAGTGTTCAGACGATTGTTACATAAAGCAATAAGTCTTTATCTTTGGTCCCTGAACCTACAACTTGTATTTATACTTAGCACCTTGTAACATTTGATTGTACATTCGGAGCTAAGAAATGTAATTAGTGTGCAAAATGCAAAAAAATATACGCATAGTTTAAGTATTTTTCTATAGTAAAAGAGATGTTTTTGTTCTTTTTTATAGAGTGTTATGAGTGTTCAATTATAATGCTATTAATTACGTAACTTTTATTACTATGTATGAAACATAACAATATTAAGCAGACATCTAACATATTATCATTCAATTCTTAGCCCCAAATTTTACCGAGTAAATTCTTAAGAACATGAGATCAAAAACTAGGTTGTCAATTTTTATAAAAATTACTGTAAATTTATAGACCATAAAAAGAAAAATATATAGTAAAAGGTTCTTTGTGATGTTATCTTTTGAATGAATGAATTATGTTTTCTTATTTGCATATAAAAAATATATCTCGATTATAAAATTCTGCTGTGAAGTATACATTATAAAAACTTGAAATTGACAATGCTAGTTTGAATTGGTGTAAATAATGTGTAACAAATTTTTGATTGATTTCACAGAAATGTCTCAGGAGGTTCAGGGAATTTTGTGTATGTAAAAGACGAAAATGAAGCATTTTTGTAAACATCGCAGTGCAATCTAACGTGAAAAATAATAAAAAAAAATTTTTCTACCAAAGATTGATAATATTCTAGATAGACCGCTTTATATTAAATAAATCTGTTTATAGTTCAGTTATTTCCAAATATGTTTATATATATATATATATAATATTAGAAAAATGTCTTCAATATTTTAAAAATATTTCAGCTTATTGTATTACACTTCATATCTGTCGTTTAATATCACGATTTCTTTTTCTCAAAGTACTTTTTATATATGTTAAAATAAAGTTTATATAGAGGTTTGTGCAATTTTGATGCGCGATGATTGTGCGGTACATAAAAACGTTATCAATATAGATCGACGGATCATTAAATTGTAATGTCATAAGCGTGTGACTTTATAAAATTTATGCTTATCCTATTTATATATTATTGCGTATAAGTATTAAAAACATGTAAACTTTAAAAGCAGGTGAAGTTATGTTACTTATCCTTGTACACGCTGCATCTGTCTTCACAAAAGGCCACGTAGTATTAATTGTCGAAAAAAGAAACTCGGATATTTATCCGAACGATTGTTCTATGTATAAAAGCCCTTTTACTATTGCCAATATATATATAAACTCTCTGCTTAATTTCTACTTCGATGTTACTCAGTATTTTGTTTGGCCATATGTTAAATATCTTGATCGTACAGTAAAATATACAATAGCGAGAAGAGGCCGATTATTAATTCTCAAGAACGCTTTTGCGCCCATTTTAGATCGTCGGCTCTGGGTTTACAGCCAGTGGCCTTTTCGATTATCACCTCCAAGATATACCAGAAGTAGAGTTTCTCCAAAGGCCAATTCAACCATCCCGTAGTAATGCAAAAGTATGTCTCGTGTGGTGCGACATGGTGTACTCGGTGATGCTTCCTCGGCAAAATAATCCTGTGTTCTTGAAGCCAAATAACCCAAGCGGGTAGTCCAAAATACGTATGTGACCACTTGTGTATCTATAAATATAAAACATGCATAATTTTTAATCATTTTCTAATTGCGCAATACATAAAGTAATTCCTATATATATAACAATCTCTCGTGAATGCGGAAGCTTAAAATTGAAAGATATATCATTAAAGGTCGATTCTACAAAGACAATGTTAAAATATGTTATGTAACATTATTTCAACTATTTTTTGAACGCTTTATGTATAATAATTTTTTATTTGAATATTTATAATTATTAATAATGTATATAGATGCTTACCTGATTAGTCATTGCTACAAAAATAGCGAGAAGAAATAAATAACACGTCCAAACGAACTTGTGTTGCATATCTACTTCGGGTAGCGTCAGAAAATCCCATGTGAGCTTGGACAGGACTGGTATCGCAACCATGAAATTATCGCCGTTAGTCTCTATGAAATCGTGTCTCGTTATACTTGTCGGATCTATGTGGTGTTCGCGAAATGGTCTTAAAAAATTCTGGAAACAAAAAAATGACATCATTGTAAATCAAAATTTACAAATTTACTCTCATGTTTTGTATCATAAGTCTCTTTACCTTTCCCAGAATTGGAAGTTCAATCGAACCCCATGTATCCGCGGCCCAGTGAACCAAACCGGAACCAAAGTCGGCCGTGATAATACCGCATAATGCAGCTATTGCTATGGAACTGAAATTTTCCAATCGTAGCCTGATGAGTACGAACATAGAATTCACAGCTATGAGAGTGATGCAGATACCCACGCAAATGCACTCTTGTGTCCTCTTCCCTAAAGGTACATCATCATAATTACAGTATAACGATTTGTCAGTACTATCTGTCATTAATTTCTTGAAAAATTAGCAGTGTTTAATTATTAAATTTAGTTTAAGTAAACACTGCTAATTTTGTGTTTCAAAAATCATAAATGTCCTTTCTCCAATGCCAGATTCTCTGAATAATTAGAATCAATTTTTTTTAGCAAAAATGTCGAGACTGATAGTTTTATATAAGCAATTGTAAAAGAAAGAGCTTTTTACAAACTAAGCTTCAAAGAAACAAATAAACCTTACATTTCTCAATTAAATTTTAAATAAATTTTCAGTTATAAATAATTCATACAATTTAAAAAATTACAAATTAGAAATTTAATAATAAAGATATATTAAAAAGTAGAAAAATGTAACGAATGATGATCTTCTTTAATATTTTAGAAAAATCAACTCTAGAGAATTTATCATTAAAAAAAAGCATTTGTGAATATTGGTACACAATATGCGCTAATAAATATTGCGCTCTTTCTCTCTCTCTCTTTCCTCCCTCTCTTTCTCCCCCTTTTTCTCTCTCCTTGTTTTTATGACAGCTAAGATTTAAAAATATAACTGACAAGTAATAAATTTCAAAACAACACCACGATATCGTTGCCACTTAAATAATTTCGGAACTACAAGAATCAACCAATTAGTCTCATATTGAAATGCGCGCAACGATAAAAGAAACTTGTCGGAAGAATCCAAACTTTAAATAATTGTAACGAAAAGGTGTATATACGCACCAGTGCTGTACAGATTAGCGAGTTCCTGGGCACCTTTGTGATTCGGGCCCCACCTAGGCACGGTACGGTCTTCTTGCGAAGTCGGCACCACCGAGTTAGCATTGGGATCGTCCTCGAGCATCGAGTTTTCGTAGATCTGGCGCTCGGTCTTCACCGGCGCCAAGAAATTGGTCGCCATGGAACAAGCGGCCGACGCGGCCTGCCCTAAGTTCGGCACTTTTATCTCCTCCATAATTTCTTTTAGCTTTAAAAAATTCTTATGTGATTCAATGCGGATGAACGTTCTACTGCGCTCGTTCAGGACTTAGGCGAGTCTCCCAAAAATCGCTCGTCTTCCGGCATTCCGGTGAGATGCCGCCGGATCACTTGGAGAAAGACAAACGAAGGCAATAGCTGTTTTTTTTATATCTAGTGAATTATTTCGGGAATTATTTTCGTTTGTTACATCACACGCTTTCTTCAATGTCGTATGAGAAATCACTTGTTGCTGTCCGTATGACAAAACCGCAAGCTATCAGTTCACGCATTATTCTCGGAAAGACTCAGAATCGTTCACACATTCATCTCAGATCTCCCGCATTTTCATGGCATAGACTGCAAACATCTGCAATCAAATAAATTATTCACGTTAAGCGGAGAATGATTACTTTGTAAATTGCACGTTAAATACAAATTTCCATTATCCAATGTGTGACATAAATCGTGATTAGTGAAATTTGTATTTACATCACAGATGTATAGAGAAATATGTCTATGCACTCTACGTAAAGTATTCTTCTAAAGTATATAGAAGTGCGATAATACACTCAATCATTTGAGTTGTCTTTAATAATAGTCTTTATAATAGTAAAAACAATAAATCGGTCTTGTTCGACTTTGGATAAAAACATTTGAAACTTTCAAGTCAAATGAAGAATATGATTTTACTACCTGTTGAGTCCTCTGAAACTTACTTTTCAAAAATCTTCCACTTTTAATGACTTGTAAAAATTTACAAAAGTTTCAGTAATCAGCGATTTAAAAGAGACCGTTGACAAGAAAACACAAATTAACGATATCGAGAACTAACTAATATTGTCAAAATTAATATTACCGGTTCGTATGCAATTATCGTCAGACACATGTATTAGTTTATGTATTTCGTAAATATTATTTATTTATATATCGTAATTGATATATGTAATATCACAACGAATGAAACAAATCATATTGGCCGGAATACGCGAAATTTTACTCAATTTCAAATAATCGCAGCGATAAAGTGGGTTAATCTCATACTTACACGGAATCGCGAGACATTATTATGTCTTCGTGTTTCCGCGAATATCGCGTGATATTCTTGCAGCAAATTCACGCGACATCTACGACCGTGCGCTTCCTACGCGCAATGAGCTCGCGTATATTCTATATACTAGGTGCGCAACTAAGTTTCCGGGTTTCACACATGGATGGTGCTAACGATACATGTAGTCGATATACATGCTAAAGTTGTGTTTTTTTATTAAGTTGGACATCTGTCAACAATAACCAGTCATAATATCAACACATATCGCAACGCAAAAATATTTTTTCTAACAATAAAGATGTCGAGTTTTGTGCCAAATAAACAGCATTTGCGGGAAGCTTTGCTTTTCTGCTTCAACTTGAAAGAAAATGCAGCTGAAGCACGTCGTTTGCTTGAGAAAGCCTACGGCACCATCGAAAACTACCTGTGAAGATTGGTTTAAACGCTTCAGAAGTGGCGATTTCGACACTGAGAACAAAGAGCGCTCCGGAAGACCAAAAACATTTGAGGACGCCGATCTGCAAGCGTTATTGAATGAAGATGATACGCAAACACAACAACGACAACAACTGATAAATTTGAACCATGCATTGCTCGAAAAACGGCCAGAATGGGACACGAGACACGAACGAGTGATATTGCAGCACGACAACGCTCCGTGCCATCGCACTTCCATCGTCCAGGACACCATCAAAACGCTGAAATGGGATCTGCTACCGCACCCGCCGTATTCACTAGACCTGGCCTCTTCCGATTATCACTTGTTCCGGTCGATGGCGCATGGCTTGGCTGGGCTACACTTGGCCAATTTCGAAGAAATGCAAAACTGGTTGGATGAATGGTTTCGATTCAAAGACGCGTCGTTTTATCGTCGCGGTATTCATGTATTGCCAGAGAGATGGCAAAAATGTGTAGCTAGCGAGGGACGATACTTTGTATAAACCGTTTTTTGTATTTCTCTTGAAATTTTCCATTTTGCATTGATAAAAAAAACCCGGAAACTTAGTTGCGCACCTAATATTAGCTCTTCTTACAGTTTTCAAGCGTCAAGTTAAAAAGTATATAAGTGCATAAGTGTTGATACATCCATGTAAGCGCATAGATCAAACAAAAACATATTTGTAACTGACGGCATCAACGGTATGACGTCACCCAACGCGAGAAGACCATGTTCAACATATAAATTACTTATTTACGAAGCTCATTATTGCAATAGGTGAATACCTGATATGGAAAACTTGGAAACTAGAAATTTAAATCTAGAAATTTAAATATAGAAAGCGACAATTTTTGAAAAATAACCTTCAAAGAATAAATAATAAAAGCATATTTTTACAAAATATATGATACTAAAAATTGAAAACTTGAAATGTATGGAAATATCAATAGAAATTTTTGCAAAAAAAACTCAGTTTTGCGTTTGGTAAAGGACACTCTGCAAAGTATTCTTATACATACACGTATGCAGACAGTGTAATGTCATTCAGGATAAGTAAAATTGTTCGGCGAAATGATTGACAATAAAAGAAAGGGCGATATATCATAACGCAAGGAAAGCAAAATGTATCGTTGTAAATTACAAACTAATGCGATCAAAAACCTCGAAGAAAATCGTCGTCGAGTGGATTTTCGAAATAAGCCGGCTTTTCAATGCGTCGACGAACATTCGCGTGACGGTAATTAAACCGAATGCGAAGGGTTAAAGGCTCTCTCACGCCAACGTAACCGATCAATTTCTACGCCACTACGGCGTATCGTGCACGTCATCATTCCGCACGCGAAATTTACGTCGTCGCGCCATACATAAGCCGTACATGCGCTTGCGCTTGTGGCTCGTTTAACTTATCACGATTCGATTAGCTGGAACGCGTCGGTTTGAGCGACACGTGTGTTATTAGATTAGAAAATCTTTACATTTTTTTGTACGGCGTTTGTTATATACACTGTTATATAATGAAAAATATGTATAAGATAAGGGGGCGGTTTCAGCCTTATGGCACATTCATCATTTATTATATTTACACGACTTTTCGAAATTACGATTGAAATCATCAAATATATAGTTTTCAGCAACTTTTAATAATTATAGTGGTCTTAACAAGTCAGTCGTAGCGTTAATATTAATAGGCGACGAATGTCTATGGCTCTGAAGTTATCGACTTTTCTTCTAACATTTTTAGTCTTCAATACCGAGGGGTTTTATTCCTCATATACTATTTCCAACGACAAATTCTTTCACCTTAAAGTTGTTTTTTAGCTCGAATAAATGAACGTAAGAGTCGCGATGTTGACGCGAGATGCAACAGATTCTACGTAATCGGCGATGACTTCACGTGCAATCGCAAAAGCGAGATCAAAGTAAAAAAGAAAGGAAAGGATTAGATCTCGTTTGATCGCGTGAATCGCAATCTTCGTCGTATTGTACGCATTGTATGTACACATGCCTCCTTACGGTTCAAAGAGGTCCGTACATATTTACACATACATAAGTCGTATATCTCTTGCTTTTGAAACATCAGCACTAATACACCGGCTCATGTCGGAGGAATGCATACTTCTCTCGTTAGGATTCAACTCTGTACAGGCGCACGCGCACGCACATAACACGTGCGTATGCACTTGTCGAGTATATCCCACTATGGGCACATGATACATCCATGTTATAATATGCACAAGAATATTCCTTTTATTTAATTTCCACATTTCTGAAATTTTTATTTTTGTTACGAATATTTAGAAATTTTTCTGTTTATATCAAAAGCATTTAGCTATTTCTAACATAATTATAAACTATTCATGTATAATATTTCTCCGAAAAAATTATCAATTGTTTCATGTTACGATTGAAAGACTGAATGAATACTTTTGTGATTCACTGTAATATATATTTTGTTATCACCGTGTTTCTTAGAACATTGATACAAATGAATGTAGTATGTTCTTGAGTTTCAATACAGTCTGAATTTCAACAGAAAAGTTGAAAGAGTAATTTAATCTACTGGTAGTTGCATTTTGCAATGATAACACATGCGTATTACTTGAACGATATTAATTTCTATATATAACTAAAATGTTAATTTTGTATAAAATA